CCTTTTCTTTTCTTTCTATTCACTCTTTTATCATGGCTTTCTATCTGATAAGTCGAGAATTACTTCGTTTAGTAGGCTTGATAGGTCTGTGCAACACTAAAGTGACATATAACATGTTTTTCCTCCTTCCTCTTCTGCCTGGATATTCCATGTAAGTAATCAAAATGACATGGAGTCTCCAATAAAAATTTGTTTGGACATGCATCTCACCACTTCTGAAAATACTAGACGTGGAAACAACACATAAAATTATTACTGAATAAATTAAAATTTGTTGGAATAAAAATAATTATTAAAATACTAAGAAAGATGGAGATTGGATCGGATGACCCATGATCTGTCAAGTTTATAAGTAGCTTCTTGGTCTAATTGTTAGGGTTCAATTAAAATTATCCTAGTCCATCGTTTCTCAAGCATGCATTCTTCCAGCTTGAAGCTTGAGAAAAACGAAGTGATCTAAGTTAGGTAGATGACGTTCTCTTTTTGAATAAGCGAGCCCCTCTAGTGCAGCTTAGGCCTTGGAGGGTTCCTCTCAAGGCAAGTCCCTAAGTACAACTTAGAGGGTGTCTCTCAAGCATAACTTCAGACAATATGCTTTGGACAAGTCCCTCAAGCGTCACATGTGAAAAGCATGTATGGCATTTGATGCTTCGATTCGAAAGGACACATGCATTGTAGGCCATTGATTAATTTACACGCATCTAATTTGGCTCATAAATATCCTACCACTTACACAAGCAGGCTCGTAAATATCCGACTTCGACAATGATACTTACTCAAATTAAACTATTGACCTTATAAATAGAGGAATAACAACCACTTTTCTTACTTGGCATGCACATTTTGCTTCCTTTCAGTCTTCTCATAATTTTGCCAAATATTTCTACAAATAAAATAATAGAGTTAGACAAATTATCATAAGTATCCTCTTCTACTTGCTCCTTATCATCTTCAACATCAAGTTTGAACGCAATTAAGAAAATATGTAAACAAAGAACACTATTTAGAAACAAAGCACAACCGTGTAATAGAAAGTTATGGTTTCATACATTAAAGAGATCGACAAGATATATAGCATTAATGAAATATAAAATGAAAAACAATTATGGAAATCAATTATATTAAAGAAAAATAACACATAAAGATATAACATATTTTTAGGGTTTGAGTGGCTGAAGAAATAGAGTTGGACGATGAAGAAGGATAGAAAATAATAACATTACCTAAATGATCTAAAGAACGATTGAAATGGTTGATAGTAAACAATGAAGTATTTGGTACAATGAGTGATTGAAGAAAATAGGGATGAGTGTGAAGAGAAGAGAAATATGATGAATTTTAATTATGTATGTTATGTAAGATAGGATAAAAGAAAACAAGCAATTGTAGAATATTTAGTATTTGATTGATTTGACATAAATATAGTTTGATTGAAATAAAAAAATGAAGAAACAAAATCTAATTTATTTGGAATAGTGCATAGTGATAATTGAAGCTGGACTTATTTGAGAAAAATGAGAATATGTACTTCAATTCCAACTTAAGAGTATAATTGGTTGAAAAAATAAAAGGTTAGACCTATTTTAACTCAAAAATCAAGATGTAGCAAAATTAGAAGAATGGGCAGATATGATATTTCAATAACCATTAAATTTTTTATAATAGTAGATTAAAATTGAACATAATATTTTTATATTTTACTTCCTCCGTTTCAAAATAATTGTGTTTAAAGTTGTTACACGGAGATTAAGAAAATAATGATAAAATTGAAAAAAATATATATAAGAAGTAAAATTGATAAAAGTTAGCTATTCAATGAATTCATATTTATTTATAATTTGAGAATGAGTAGTAAGTAATTTAGTTAGTTGTGTAGAAGGGAAGAAATAATGTTTTCTTGGTCAAAGAAATGGTGCCGGAAAATAACCTATTTCATGCCACGTGGTCATAACTCTGGTCTATCCCTTATCCCAAATTTCCTTTCAAGTTCATTTTCTCTCAAAAAATTTCTCTTAGAAACACTCACAACTCTTAATTACAATTAAGTTCCGATTTGATTATTAGAAAGCTCTTTTGCACTCACTCTACATCGAAATTGAAGTTAATCAATGGCATCAACAACTATGCCGATCGAGAAATCCGAGGAAGAATGGAGAGCAATTCTTTCCCGCGAGCAGTTTCGCATCCTCCGCCAGAAAGGAACTCAATAATAATTTCTCAATTTCTTCTCTTTGTATCATAATATTGTAACTGTCAACTTCAATTTAAGACTTGAAATTTTTATCATTGTGCAGATTGAAGGGTACCGGAGAGTATGACAAGTTTTATGAAGAAGGGATTTAAAATTGTGCTGCCTGTGGAACTCCGCTTTACAAGTTTACCACCAAATTCGATTCTGGTTGTGGTTGGCCTGCTTTCTTCGAGGGTTTTCCTGGAGCCATCAATCGGTTTGTAAGTGTTCAAAATTAACACTAATACTTGTGATTACTTTTAATTCATTTATTTATTGATTTGGGGTAAGTGTTGGATCATAAAAATGTGTAGTTGAAGTTTGGAATTAAATTGTTATAATGGAAGTTAATTTGGCATTTTCAGCCTGATCCAGATGGTAGAAGGACTGAGATAACTTGTGCAGCATGTGATGGACATTTGGGTCATGTATTCAAGGGAGAAGGTTTCAAGGTTCAAACGGATGAATGCCATTGTTTCAATAGTGTTTTTGTCAAGTTCATTCCTGGAAATGTTGCTTCTTCCATATGAAATTGTAGTAGGTGTTAAAAGTGAAATAATGTCTTGCTTGTAGTATTTCTTGGTGGGTACAAAACAACTGTGGTTATAAGCTTGAACCACTGAGTATAGTTTGGACTGAAATTAATAAAATCCTTTTCTTTTCTTCTATTCACTCTTTTATCATGGCTTTTTATCCGATAAGTCAAGAATTACTTCGTTCGGTAGGATTGATAGGTCTGTGCAACACTAAAGTGACATATAACATGTTTTTCCTCCTTCCTCTTCTGCCTGGATATGCCATGTAAGAAATCAAAATGACATGGAGTCTACAATAAAAATTTGTTTGGACATGCATCTCACCACTTTTGAAAATACTAGACATGGAAACAACACATAAAATTATTACTGAATAAATTAAAATTGGTTGGAATTAAAATAATTATTAAAATACTAAGTGTGATGGAGATTTGATCGGATGACCCATGATCTGTCAAGTTTATAAGTAGTGTCTTGGTTCAATTGCTAGGGTTCAATTAAAATTATCCTAGTCCATCGTTTCCCAAGCATGCATTCTTCAAGCATGAAGCTTGAGAAAGACGAAGTAATTTAAGTTAGGTAGATGAAGTTCTCTTTTTGAAGAAGCGAGCCTCTCTAGTGCAGCTTATGCCTTGGAGGGTTCCTCTCAAGCCAAGTCCCTAAGTACAACTTGGAGGGTGTCTCTCAAGCATAACTTCGGACAATATGCTTTGGACAAGTCCCTCAAGCGTCACCTATGAAGTGCACGCGTGGCATTTGATGCTTCGATATGATTAGTTTTGTTTCGGAATGACACATGCATTGTAGGCTATTGATTAATTTGCACGCGTCTAATTTGGCTCATAAATATCCTACCACTTACACATGCAAGCTCATAAATATCCGACTTCGACAATGATACTTACTCAAATTAGACTATTGACCTTATAAATAGAGGAATAAAAACCACTTTTCTTACTCGTCATACACATTTTGCATCCTTTCAGTCTTCTCATAATCTTGCCAAACCTTTTACAAGTAAAATAATAGAGTTAGACAAATTATCATAAGTATCCTCTTCTACCTGCTCCTCATCATCTTCAACATCAGGTTTGAACGCAACTAAGAAAATATGTAAACAATGAACACTATTTACAAACAAAGCACACCCGTGTAATAGAAATTTATGGTTTCATAAGTTAAAGAAATCGACAAAATATATAGCATTAATGAAATATAAAATGAAAAAAATTATGGAAATCAATTATATTAAAGAAAAATAACACAAAGATATAACATATTATTAGGGTTTGAATGCTTGAAGAAATAGAGTTGGACGATGAAGAAGGATAGAAAATAATATCATTACCTAAATGATCTAAAGAACGATTGAAATGGTTGATAGTAAACAATGAAGTATTGGGTACAATGAGTGATTGAAGAAAATAGGGATGAGTATGAAGAGAAGAGAAATCTGATGAATTTTAATTCTGTATGTTATGTAAGATAGGATAAAAGAAAACAAACAATTGTACAATATTTAGTATTTGATTAATTTGACATAAATATAGTTTGATTGAAATAAAAAAATTAAGAAACAAAATCAAATTTATTTGGAATAGTGCATAGTGATAATTGAAGCTGAACTTATTCGAGAAAAATTAGAATATGTACTTCAATTTCAACTTAAGAGTATAATTGGTTGAAAAAATAAATGGTTAGACCAATTTTAACTCAAAAATCAAGATGTAGCATAATTAAAGGAATGGGCAGATATGATATTTCAATAATCATTAACTTTCTTATAATAGTAGATTAAAATTGAACATAATATTTTTATATTTTACTTCCTCTGTTTCAAAATAATTGTGTTTAAAGTTGTTACACATAGATTACAAAAAATAATGATAAAATTAAAAAGAATATATATAAGGAGTAAAATTGATAAAAGTTAGCTATTCAATGAATTGATATTTATTTATAATTTGAGAAGGAGTAGGAAGTAATTTAGTTAGTTGTGTAAAAGGGAAGAAATAATGTTTTCTTGGTCAAAGAAATGGTGCCGGAAAATAACCTATTTCATGCCACGTGGTCATAACTCCGGTCTATCCCTTATCCCAAATTTTCGTCCAAGTTCATTTTCTCTCAAAAAATTTCTCTTAAAAACGCTCACAACTCTTAATTACAATCAAGTTTCGATTTGATCACTATAAATCTCTTTTGCACTCACTCTACATCGAAATTGAAGTTAATCAATGGCATCAACAACTATGCCGATCGAGAAATCTGAGAAAGAATGGAGAGCAATTCTTTTCCCCGAGCAGTTTCGCATCCCCCTCCTGAAAGGAACTGAGTAATAATTTCTGAATTTCTTCTCTTTGTATCATAATATTGTAACTGTCAAATTCAATTTAAGACTTGAAATTTTTATCATTGTTGAGATTAAAGGTTACTGGAGAGTATAACAAGTTTTATGAAGAAGGGATTTACAATTTACTGCATGTGGAACTCCACTTTACAAGTCTACCACCAAATTTGATTCTGGTTGTGGTTGGCCTACTTTCTTCGAGGGTTTTTCTGGAGCCATCAATCGGTTTGTAAGTGTTAAAAATTGACAATAATACTTCTGATTACTTTTAATTCATTTATTTATTGAATTGGGGTCCATGTTGGATCATAAAAACGTGTAGTTGAAGATTTAGAATTGAAATGTTATAATGGAAGTTAAATTGGCATTTTCAGCCTGATCTAGATGGTAGAAGGATTGAGATAACTTGTGCAACATCTAGTGTGCATTTGGCTCACGTATTCAAGGGAGAAGGGTTCAAGGTTCCAATGGATGAACGTCATTGTGTCAATAGTGTTTCTGTCAAGTTCATTCCTGGAAATGTTGCTTCTTCCATATGAAATTGTAGTAGGTGTTAAAAGTGAAAGAATGTCTTGCTTGTAGTATTTCTTGGTGGGTACAAAATAGCTATGATTATAAGCTTGGACCATTGAGTATAGTTTGGACTGAAATTAAAAAAAATCCTTTTCTTTTCTTTATATTCACTCTTTTATCATGACTTTCTATCGGATAAATCGAGAACTACTTTGTTTAGTAGGATTGATAGGTATTTACAACACTAAAGTGACATATAACATGTTTTTCCTCCTTCCTCTTCTGCCTGGATATGCCATCTAAGTAATCAAAATGACATGGAGTCTCCAATAAAAATTTGTTTGGACATGCATATCACCACTTCTGAAAATACTAGACGTGGAAACAACACATAAAATCATTAGTGAATAAATTAAAATTGGTTGGATTCAAAATTATTATTAAAATACTAAGCGTGATGGAGATTGGATCGGATGATCCATGGTCTGTCAAGTTTATAAGTAGCTTCTTGGTTCAATTACTAGGGTTCAATTAAAATTATCCTAATCCATCGTTTCTCAAGCATGCATTCTTCAAGCATGAAGCTTGAGAAAGACGAAGTGATTTAATTTAGGTAGATGACGTTCTCTTTTTGAAGAAGCGAGCCCCTCTAGTGCAGCTTAGGCCATGGAGGGTGCCTCTCAATCCAAGTCCTTAAGTACAACTTAGAGGGTGTCTCTCAAGCATAACTTCGGACAATATGCTTTGGACAAGTCCCTCAAGCGTCACCTGTGAAAAGCACACATGGCATTTGATGCTTCGATATGATGAGTTTTGTTTCGGAATGACACATGCATTGTAGGCCATTGATTAATTTGCACGTGTATAATTTGGATCATAAATATCCTACCACTTACACAAGTAGGCTCGTAAATATCTGACTTCGACAATGACAATTACTCAAATTAGGCTCTTGATATTATAAATAAAGGAATACCACTTTTCTTACTCGACATAAAAATTTTGCATCCTTTCAGTCTTCTCATAATCTTGCCAGACGTTTTTACAAGTAAAATAATAGAGTTAGACAAGTTATCATAAGTATCCTCTTCTACCTGCTCCTTATCATCTTCAACATCAGTTTTGAACGCAACTAAGAAAATATGTAAACAAAGAACACTATTTACAAACAAAGCACACCCGTGTAATAGAAAATTATGGTTTCATAAGTTAAAGAAACCGACAAAATATATAGCATTAATGAAATATAAAATGAAAAAAATTATGGAAATCAATTATATTAAAGAAAAATAACATAGAAAGATAGAATATATTTTTAGGGTTTGAGTGGTTGAAGAAATTGAGTTGGACGATGAAGAAGGATAGAAAATAATATCATTACCTAAATGATCTAAAGAAAGATTGAAATGATTGATAGTAAACAATGAAGTATTGGGTACAATGAGTGATTGAAGAAAATAGGGATGAGTATGAAGAGAAGAGAAATATGACGAATTTTAATTCTGTCCGTTATGTAAGATAGGATAAAAGAAAAGAAGCAATTGTACAATATTTAGTATTTGATTGATTTGACATAAATATAGTTTGATTAAAATAATAAATGAAGAAACAAAATCAAATTTATTTGGAATAGTGCATAGTGATAATTGAAGCTGAACTTATTCGAGAAAAATGAGAATATGTACTTCAATTCCAACTTAAGAGTACAATTGGTTGGAAAAATAAATGGTTAGACCAATTTTAACTCAAAAATCAAGATGTAGCATAATTAGAAGAATGGGAAGATATGATATTTTAATAACCATTAACTTTCTTATAATAGTAGATTAAAATTGAACATAATATTTTTATATTTTACTTCCTCCATTTCAAAATAATTGTGTTTAAAGTTATTACACAGAGATTAAAAAAAATAATGATAAAATTGAAAAGAATATATATATATATATATATATATATATATATATATATATATATATATATATATATATATATATATATATATATATATATATATATATATATATATATATATATATATATATGGAGTAAAATTGATAAAAGATAACTATTCAATGAATTGATATTTATTTATAATTTGAGAAGGAGTAGTAAGTAATTTAGTTAGTTGTGTAGAAGGGAAGAAATAATGTTTTCTTGGTCAAAGAAATAGTGACGAAAATTAACCTATTTCATGCCACGTGGTCATAACTCTGGTCTATCCCTTATCCCAAATTTCCGTCCAAGTTCATTTTCTCTCAAAAAATTTCTCTTAGAAATGCTCACAACTCTTAATTACCATCAAGTTCCGATTTGATCACTATAAAGCTCTTTTGCACTCACTCTACATCGAAATTGAAGTCAATCAATGGCATCAACAACTACGCCGGTCGAGAAATCCAAGGAAGAATGGAGAGCAATTCTTTCCCCCGAGCAGTTTCGCATCCTCCGCCAGAAAGGAACTGAGTAATAATTTCTCAATTTCTTCTCTTTGTATCATAATATTGTAACTGTCAAATTCAATTTAAGACTTGAAATTTTTATCGTTGTGCAGATTGAAGGGTACCGGAGAGTATAACAAGTTTTATGAAGAAGGGATTTACAATTGTGCTGCCTGTGGAACTCCGCTTTATAAGTCTACCACCAAATTTGATTCTGGTTGTGGTTTTCCTACTTTCTTCGAGGGTTTTCCTGGAGCCATCAATCGGTTTCTAAGTGTTCAAAATTGACACTGATACTTCTGATTACTTTTAATTCATTTATTTATTTATTTGAGGTCCGTGTTGGATCATAAAAATGTGTAGTTGAAGATTTGGAATTGAATTGTTATAATGGAAGTTCATTTGGCATTTTCAGCCTGATCTAGGTGGTAGAAGGACTGAGATAACTTGTGCAGCATGTGGTGGGCCTTTGGGTCATGTATTCAAGGGAGAAGGGTTCAAGGTTCCAACGGATGAACGTCATTGTGTCAATAGTGTTTCTGTCAAGTTCATTCCTGGAAATGTTGCTTCTTCCATATGAAATTGTAGTAGGTGTTAAAATTGAAATAATGTCTTGCTTGTAGTATTTCTTGGTGGGTACAAAACAGCTATGGTTATAAGCTTGAACCACTGAGTATAGTTTGGACTTAAATTAATAAAATCCTTTTCTTTTCTTTATATTCACTCTTTTATGATAGCTTTCTATCAGATAAATCGAGAATTACTTTGTTTAGTAGGATTGATAGGTTTGTGCAACACTAAAGTGACATATAACATGTTTTTCCTCCTTCCTCTTCTGCTTAGATATGCCATGTATGTAATCAAAATGACATGGAGTATCCAATAAAAATTTGTTTGGACATGCATCTCACCACTTCTGAAAATACTAGACGTGGAAACAGCACATAAAATCATTACTGAATAAATTAAAATTGGTTGGATTCAAAATAATTATTAAAATACTAAGTGCGATGGAGATTGGGTTGGATGATCCATGATCTGTCAAGTTTATAAGTAACTTCTTGGTTCAATTACTAGGGTTCAATTAAAATTATCCCAGTGCATCGTTTCTCAAGCATGCATTCTTCAAGCATGAAGCTTGAGAAAGACGAAGTGATTTAAGTTACGTAGATGACGTTCTCTTTTTGAAGAAGTCGGCCCCTCTAGTGCAGCTTAGGCCTTGGAGGGTGCCTCTCAAGCCAAGTCCCTAAGTACAACTTAAAGGGTGTATCTCAAGCATAACTTCGGACAATATGCTTTGGAAAAGTCCCTCAAGCGTCACCTGTGAAAAGCACGCATGGCATTTGATGCTTCGATATGATGAGTTTTGTTTCAGAATGACACATGCATTGTAGGCCATTGATTAATTTGCACGTATCTAATTTGGCTCATAAATATCCTACCACTTACACAAGTAGGCTCGTAAATATCTGACTTCGACAATGACAATTACTCAAATTAGCCTCTTTGTGATACGGTGGGAGAACTGACTTGAGGTTTTGCGTTTGTGTTTGCAAATGTTTCGGTTTAGCAAGAGTCGCCACTGACTTTTTATTTTATCCAAAGGAAAGGTCAAAAAGCACAGGAAAGACCTTTGAGATGTTTTCTTGAGTTCGGGGGGTAGATTATGAAAAGGGAAGGTGCAAGCACCCTTTTCATCCAAGGTTTTCCATGGGCTCTTAGTTAATTGTTTAGATCACTTGCTTTTGCTTTTCAATTGTTTGAAATGGTACTTTGTGTGTGGTTTTGAAAATGTTTTGAAAAGAGGCCATCGTTGTGGCAACCTTTGTAATGATTCTTGTTTGAATATATACAAAGGTGTTTGTCTTTTGAAAAGATATTTCAATGTTTGAAAGTTTGTTTTGGGAAATGTTTTGAAATTGTGTTGCGAGGTGTGTTTTAAAATAGCAAGGATGTTTTGCAAGTTTTGATCAAGTAACTAAGAGTTGTCTACCCTATCTTACTACAAGATATTTCCTACACATTTTTAACCCTTTTGACAGTGTTGTTTTACCATTGCATTTGGTAAACAACCTTGTATTTGGATGTTAAACGGGACAGGCGCGGGTCATCGTACTGACCATGATAGCAATTGTGCTAAGTATCTTTAGCAAATTTTTGAGGGACTAGATCATTTTTGTATAGGCAACCAAGATAGCGTCATCGAGGGACTATGATCTTTTTGTTTTGATTTTTGTTTTGCCAAGACACTCAACATGCATAACATGGCCATTTTAAAGGCAACAAGTGGATGAAACCCTAGGGGTGCATGTGTGTATTGTGTTGTTAATTTACATGTTTTATGTCTTGTATTATGTCCAACTATTTGTTTTAATTTTGGATATTGCATACAAACCCTAATCTCTATCATGGCATATTTGAAAGCTATAAATGCGTAAAATAAATCTACGACTATTACAACATTGATATGGGGAGGGGGATACAATTTTGAATGGGGAGTATTTGCAAGAAAATAAAACCCTAAGATTTACTATTACATCCAAATTGAACTCTTTGCATCAAATAATAAATAAACAATAATTTAAATAAGCAATTAAATAAACATGCAATATATTATAAATATGCAAAAAAATGTTTTTGTTTATTTTTATGTATGTAAAAATAAAATATTCAATGCATTAAAAATAATAAAATAAAAGATTATTTTTATTAAGGGTAAAAACCCTAATTTTCTTTAAGAAAGTATATATATATATATATATATATATATATATATATATATATATATATATATATATATATATATATATATATATATATATATATATATATATATATATATATATATATATATATATATATATATATATATATATATATATATATATATATATATATATATATATATATATATATATATATATTATATATATATATATATATATATATATATATATATAATATATATATATATATATATATATATATATATATATATATATATATATATATATATATATATATATATATATATATATATATATATATATATATATATATATATATATATATATATATATATATATATAAATATATATATATATATATATATATATATATATATATATATATATATATATATATATATATATATATATATATATATATATATATATATATATATATATATATATATATATATATATATATATATATATATATATATATATATATATATATATATATATATATATATATATATATTAATTACATTATTTATGTACAATAAAATAAAATAATAAAATATATACAAATGTCAAAAAATAAAAATATATTATAAAAAATATTATTGAAGTATGTAAATAAAAAATAAAGGTGTAATATTTCTATGTATTATTTTCAAGTTTTTATTAAATAAAATAAAAGTATGTTATCTAATAATTATTTTTATCTTAGAAAAAATAATAAAAATACAAAATAAAATGTGAAAATTAAATAAAATGTTTTTTGGTAATTTTTGAAGTTTAGAAAAAATATTTTAAAGTCAGAACTAAAAATAAAAATAGAAAAATATCAAATAATAATGAAATGGGTCACGGGGTATGAACAGCAAAGAGGGGGGGGGTGTCAAAATCAAGCCAAACCAAGCCCAGCCCAGTTACAGCTTCGTCTTCAACCTCTGATTCAAAAATACGCGCGCCTGTGTACAAATGTCCAACTCTTGCATACGTGCTCTAAAGCAAAAACTCATAACACAAAAGTTATAGCATTTTTCAAGACGATTCCAACCATGTAAAGAACTTAATCTAACTCTCCAAGACCAGAGAGAATTTCTCTGGCCCTAATTTCTAACCTAACTTTTTCAGGAAGTTCATCAATCAAATTATCTTAGCACACTTAACTTAAATGAAATCTATGCATATGTACCGCTTAAGGGCTATGAGTACTACATTTTTTATTCACAAACATAAGCCTAATGATTCCTAAATAGAGATATAGAAAGTTGACAAATAACTGTTTCAGTTGAACACGAGTATGGCAATGTGGAGGTTTTCAATGAGGCCTGAGATGTTTGTGAGCTTGCCTGAACTTCCTCTGACCTTCCCCAATGCTTTGTTTTCCTTGAGCTTGCTTGAATAAGCCTGTAGAAGTCAACCTGCACAAGTTGAAAACAGAAATGGTGAAGCTTGCAAATGGAGTAACAGTCAATGGCCAATGATTGGGATAGCTCAGGTGGGTTATATGGAAGGTATTGGAACAGGTTTGGGGCAAAATGCACGAGTAGTTTTTGTTATGCAACTCAAAGTGCAAAAATTGCCCTGTTTTGCAAGAGGAAGGTGATTTTGTGTTTTGGAAGGCTTGAGGGTTGAATAACTCGTGTTTCTGGCTCAAGGCAATGTCAAAAACTTGTTTCAAATGCTTGCAAGAGTTGGTTATAACAGATACTCAAGTTGTGTAGACTTTTGCACATTTCTTGGTAATGAAGCAAAAGGTGGGAAGTGACAAAGAGCAGGCCTGTACAGGCTAGCTCTAATCCTGCATACATTTTGTGAGCTTGGCCCCAAGTTTGTGGATTTGGTTTGCTGTCCAAGATTTGGTTCAAGGCTCAAGAGATGCAATTTGACATAAAGCAAGTTTTGACAAAGATGACAATGTTGCCTTTTTGCTATTTTTGGATTAATCTCTTGTGTAAACCTCTAATGATCAGAACAAAGCTTCAATCCATTGGATTTGCATTTAATTATTGAGTGTGGAAGGGTTTAGATGCCTGTAATTAAGTATAAACAATGCTATATGGAAATTGCAACTTGTAGCAACATAAAACATGCCATGGATCAAAGTGAGTTTTTGCCAAATTCAAACCTTCTATTCTCCTTAACCATAAATGATTTTGGAGAAATCTTGGACATTTTGGAAAGCTTGTAACATGATTTACAATCCATCTTTGAAATGAATTTTTAGATTCCAAGTTTAACTAGGTGAAAAATTGCCATGAAGATAGGTTAAAATCCTGCCTAAACTAGGGCAAAATTTCACTAAGTTAAAAGTTTCATGGACCCTTGTTCCAAAAATCATAACTTGAGATCCAAGCTTCTTTTGAGAAAACTTTGTGAATCAAAGTTGTAGATTTTGTGGAGGAATACAACTTTCATGTTGGAAGTTTTGTTTGAATCCAATTGCATCATGGTGAAAATTTTGGGTAAAGTTGGGGGGAAAAAAAGAAAATTTCATAACTTAGAAAAATTCTAAGTTATGAAATTTTTCAATCTTAAACCCTAATTTGCAAAATTAGGTTTCTTGATGAAAAATTTTCATGTTTTGACACATCTTGATGAAAAATGACCCTTGGCACTTGATTTTGACCAAAAAGTCAAAGTTTGACTTTTCAGTGTATAATTGATTTTTGATCAGTTGACTGGAAAATTCATCTGTCAATCCAATGCAATTGAGATCTTTTGAACCTTGTGAATAGGTCAAGATGATTCCATTGATTCCTTGAATCCATGCTTGAACCCAATTTGCCATTGGCTAGGTAAAAAATCAGAAATTGCCCTTCTGCAGTCAAAACCCTAAAAATGA